TTTCATCGCTGAACTTAACTGACAAAAAATTTACCGTTGAAGCCCTTTTTCTATTCAATGAAGAACGAATTATTGACCGTCATGAATTTCATCTTGATCCTATAATTGGCACGAAAAAACATAAGTTTTACTTGCTCTATTCTCGATCAAAGGACATGTTGCGACACAAGCAAACCCAATATTTCAATAGAACTTACATTGAACATGTTCAACCTCATTCTGTTCATTTTGAACTCTACTCCCTCGATCGTGACAACTCCATCATTGAACTTGGCCGTTGGAATTATCCAGTTTTCTTTGACTTCCTTCCATCCTATCGTCTGGCTGTCATTCTCAAACTTCCAACTTGGTTTGGTAACAAAACGCTTGATCCTTGCTCAAGTTCAAACATCATCCAATATTATTGGCATTCCGAGTGCAAGTCTATCCTAAACTCGAATAATTCATTCGACTGCTCGTGCAAATATGGTTTCTACGGTGCACAATGTAATAAATATTTGTCTGTATGCGATTCGTATTGTTCACACGATTCGATTCGCAAGCCATATAGTTATGGTAATTACACGACGCCGTTTGGCATTTATCCTCATTTTCGTTTTCGTTCCAGTTGCCATCTTCGGCATGATGAGTGCGATACTTCTCCATGCGGCATAGATGGAACTTGTCATCTAACCCATGATGTTAGTAGACAACGATCCTATCAATGTATATATGATAAAGTATTTTATAAGGAAAAATGTCAAGATGAAAAAGTACCTATTCAAATTGAGTTGAATATGAGCAGCAGTCATGTACAGCCATCTGTCATCCACTTATATGATGTTCATATGGGCTCATTGTGCCTTCTCTTGCGACATCAACAGGTATGCCATAGGATTCCAGCAATCATACGTTACAATTATGGACACATCTTAACACCTCTTCTAGACATGCTTAAAACGTATGAAACCTATAATACAATATCTAACTATTACCTTCTTTATATTCAACCCGAGATTTCAGCCGTCAATCAATATTATCTCAACACCTGAACTGTGCCCACATTCGTCCACTTTCTTATATGGTGATAGAGCAATCTTTAGGTATCATGAAATATGTCATAATGGTCACCTCTGTTTCTATGATACGGAATACTTGTGTATTTGTGAAAGCGACAGTTATCGTGCCGAGTGTTTGGGACACAATCTTCTACTTGATCATTGTGAACTATGTCTGTCAAATGGAAAATGTATCAAAGGTAATTTAGACAATGCAAACGATTTCATTTGTCTTTGCTCACATTATCATCGAGGACCATTGTGTGAATTTGACAGGAAAGTTTTTGAATTTACAGTTGACTGACTTCTAGTATTTGATTCCATCATTATTCAAGTCGTTTATATCGTTTTCATATTTTTCTTCACTGTCATTGGTTTTTTCACAAATCTTTGCTCGTTCGTCACTTTCAAACGACCTCAACCAAGAATGTATGCTGTTGGAAACTATATATTCGTGATCTCTATTCTTAATCAGTGTGCCATCTTCTGTCTCTTCGCGAAATTTGCCCACACTCCTCTCGGTTCATTGTGACTAACTGATAATATGTCATGCAAGTCAACAAGCTATCTGCTCTCTGTACTGACATGATCATCATTCTGGCTTAATAGCTGGGTTTCACTGAATCGTTTATTTTTTATTCTAATTTTCACTTCATTCGATTGAAAAGTCCTCGCTTAGCTATACATTCAAACATTATCACGCTCTTTGTACTTTGCCTCATACACATCCGTGAAATTTTTATCTACACAACAATTCGACAGCTAGACCAATATATACCTCAATGTGTCACCAATTTCAAACAGAAGAATGTGGCCATCTACGATCGTATATCATGCCTACTTCACTCGTTAGTTCCTTTTTTCACACAAGTCAATGCAATCACTGTGCTCATCATTTTGGCAGCTCGCAATCAAGTCAAGACAAGTAGCGACGGAGAAAGAAAGAGAAGCTTTAGTCACGTATTGAAGACACAAATGAACAATCAAAAACAATTATATATCACACCAGTAATAATTGTCCTGTCAGTTGTACCACAAGTGATATTGTCGTTTACTTTGGCTTGCCTACAATTGGGTGATTGATAACGTATAATTACAGGAAGGAATTCAGTCAAACTTTTATCGGTTGCAGATTTTCCAAGACAACTAATAAGAAATAAATCTATGGATTCGTGTTATTTCTTCGTAAAAACTTATTTGATCGCTACCCTAGCTGTCAAATTCTTTTTGACAATATTTTAGTCGAATAAACTTATGATGACTCTCCATGTCATGTGGGGTCTTTTGCTTGACCGCTGATTGTATCTCTCTTTCTATGTTAATTGGACTAATAAATAATTCACACTCAATTCTATCTCTCGAAAAGATAATTGTACAATGGAATCTAGTATTTGATGAGACATTGGATTGTGAGTAGTAAGATTAAAATGCTTTTTTTTGAAAGCTAACTATGCTGTATTTCGAAAATTATAAATGTATAGATCAAGTATTGTCACAGACAGAAACTAGATATATTCGAACCGAAACGGCAATCCCTTTGAAGATTTGTGTATGTGAAATAAATGATGATCAGTGATTTTGAGACAAATCTAATGAAGACTAGCAGGTTTTGTATTACATTGTCTAACGTATTCGTGATAAAGCTAGAATCGCAACAGAATTTCGTTGGTTCGAACGGAGTACTTCAGGTTCCTATTAATCAGCAGTAGACGTTAGATCAAAACTTCACTCTTACATGATTAGGATATCACATAATACTTGTCGTTGGTGTTAATGAATACTGTTTAGTACACTTGTGGATTCAAATAAAGCTATTAATAGTATTGTGTGAGTATTGCTAGTTATTTTTTAGTATTAACGCATGATCTCATGCAGTTACAGACGATTATTCATCGCACTACAGAATAATGGAGAAACTAAAAAAGAGAAAAAAAATAAAAGAATTATGTTGCCAAAGAATAGATCGTTATCATAACAATTAGTGTTATTTTTATGAGGAGAGAGTGTGAATGTGGGTAAAAACAAAACGATCATATGGCTGGTGTAGTGATCACATTGTTACCATCGGCGTCGACCTATACTGCCAATGCAGCAGTTGCGAAACTAATAGAAATACTTCAATGTCAAGAAATGAACGTTACGTCACCACTCTATTGGGAAATAATTATGCACTTACTCAATCTTCAACAGACACTCAATGCTAATAATCTTGGATTATCCATCACCAACAATTCGACATAAATTTCACTTGTATTCCAGACGAGAATTGATACTACATGATTTCCTTTACACAGAATGTTCAATACGTCGACGGTGCAGACAACATGTAAGTATACTACTTTGGAAATTATTTGTGTATACTATTGAAAATCTTGTTCTTATCTTTTCGATAGCTTCACCGTTGTCTCTTGTATCAGTAATAAACACAGCAAAAACCAATTCAATCTCACAATCGATCGTCATATCAACACCATTTCCTAACCATATTCTAGCTTTAGCTCTTTACATTTTCTCACATGTGCTATGATTTATCTATGAAAGAACAGCAGAGACCTCATTTTTTCCAAACTTTGGACAATGTTCTAAACATCGACTTTTGCAGTCCTGGTCGTATTTTTCGATTTATCCTTCCATCGTTTGACGACTTGAGGTGCGGAACGCCACAACTGTTAGAAAATGTTTTTCTCTAGAACATAGCCTGTTTCTATTATTTCTTGAATGCAACTGTTTTTGAGAAAAGCACCAAAATTTTGAACAAATAAGGATGCAATTGTAGTCATCCATTTTTTAGTGTCATAGACGAATCTATCATCAAAGTACCAGCTACCGCGCTCGATTTTTGATATGTCAAGAGACCGAATATAGTACTACTGAATTTTTTCATAAATAATTCAAAAATGTAGTCGTTGAGATAGTTTGAAGTTTTTTCATCGATATTGTAAAAAGATAGAACAATGTTGACTCTAGATAGTGCTGAAAACTCGAGTTATTTTTTTCTAGTTATTTTCAAAGTTATTCGAAAAATATCTCCGGTCACATTACTGTGAAGTGGACAATAGACAAACTTTGATATAGATATACTAAGTAAAGTTTTAATTTTCTAAGAGATAAATAAATTAAGGGATGTTTTATTCCGTCCTATGTATGATTCCTTCAACGAAATCTTTTATTTCGGCGAAGGCTTTATTTGTGACCACATATTTTTGGGAGAATGTCAGGTATTCAACAAATATCAATAAATGACCAAAGGTATTATTCATTCACTGTGCTCTATTGATCATGTAAAATGAAAAATAGAGTGCTAAGAACAGTATGACAGAAAAAAATCGAAAAGCCTTGACAGAATTCCTTTGACAAAATCAATAGCATTGCATATGTAAACTGAACTTCATTAAATAAGGGTGAAATATTCAAAATCAGTTTTATGAGTCAAGTGGTTGCTACATATAAAGTCATCTCTTGCATATATCTAGCATTTTACTTGAAACATGCTTACACCTAGATGCGTCCATATTCATGGTCTTCACTCTTTTCATGAACAGTTCAAGCAGAATTCTTACCTTGAAAGCAGTTTGACAGTGGTTATTGTTCAAAAACCTTGAAATGTTCAACTTCAATACTGTACACAACAAGAAAGAACTTCTCTTTTGAAATAAAATGAAAATAATACAACACTTATAGAAAACTACAAAACACATTGTGAAAATATAAATTTCACAATGTTTCAAAGTAAGAAAATAAGTCAGTACCAAAACTTAAGCAATACGATAGTCTCATAAATGCTTTGGTCAGTATTGCTGAAATTCATTCAAAATTAATAATGATATATGATGACAAGAAATGCTACAAGAAGCAAATAAATTCTGCGTCAAATGCTACCAACAGTGTTAATTTCATTCTATTACTATTTCAAATATGAAATAAGAACAGAAAAGTCCAAATTTCGCTCGGTTCATTGTGTCTTTAATCAGTTAATAGTTGGTCTATTATGCGCAATGCTTCTAGTGCACCAAGAGGCAATGAGATGTTGTCTTCATGCTCATCAATATGTGCTTGATGCAAGTTGATTCGAATATGTGCTGCACGGCCTCCACGCATTCGGTGTTCTGCTACGACGCGTGTCACCTCTGTGCGTACTTTGGGCATTACAGTGCCGCAGCCAATTTCCAGAACAGTCAACATTCGTTCAGCTGACAATTGGCGAAAGAATGTCTCATGACGCATACGTGCTACCTCAACATGTGATGTATCCCAATGGCCATCAACCGCCAATGCTGTACATACACGTGCTGGACCGTCACATTGTATGCATACTGGTGGAGTTCCAAGTAGTAGCATTGTGTTCAAGTCAACTGGGGGCATATTTGCAATGTCAAGTGGCCATGGCTTTGCACCACAGCCACGCATACACTGTGCATCATACATTGATCCATGCATTTCGAATACGTTGTCGAGTGTGAAACCTGTGCGAATAAAATGGCGATCTAAGTTCGTCGTTACAACACTTACATTGCGTTTGCTACATTTACTCCAAGTATGCAGTATATCATAGCCAAAATGTGGTAGTATATTCATATATTCCCGCTGTCTTGTAATCCAGTGACCCCATGCTAGTGCAGGATTGTGCTCGAACAGCGAATGATTGGATAAGTCGTAGATACTCATGCCCATTTCTGCTAGACGTGGATGTGCTAGGTGAATGCCACCGAAGTAGTCTGGTAAGCCAGCATCGACGCCCATTCCAGCACCTGCTGCTACTAGTAGTACATCGGCGTCGCACACATACTGAGCTGCACGCCACAAAGCTTCTTCAATGTCTTGCTGTTGATTCAGGGATATATGATACATTTCACAAGAGAAACTTGTTGATGATAGTTTGCCTGATAGAATAACAGATATTTTATCTTCTTATATCAAATCTGAAAAAGTCTGTTTTAGATGAATAGTCTATGACACTTTACTCATAGTTACCACTGCTAACTTATTAACATCATCTTTACCACTATTCGAGATAATTTATTAGTCAAATTAAAATGAAGTATTTTTACTGATTGTTGCTTACTTTTTTTCTCTTATATTAACTAATCTAAAGTCGACAAACTCTTTTTCATAAATATATACGAAAGCTGATCCAAAAATAATTGAATTGGTCTAACGATATTAAGTCTTTATCGAGAGTCATCAGGGTAAAATTAGTACTTAGGATAGGGGAAGCATTCATTTTTCTCGCTATAAACATCAAAACTCATTTCTAATCGTATTTCACAAAACTAACTGATATGAATATCTCCGCCAGTACATTGTACAGGGCTGAACATTTAAACCTAGAAAGATCTGATATGACACTGACTCAGATAAAAATTTAGTTTCCCAGCGTTAATCACGTCCATTTCGGCTAGGCAGTATCAACAGTCAAGGACGACATGCCACTCTTTCAGAATACTCATTACGCAAGAATGACATTTATCCGATACTTCTCCTGTTGGCAAATCTTCATTATATTTAACAAGTCAAGTAAGGTTACAACTTTAAACGTAATTGGAGAGGATATCTGCAATGACAATACAAGCAAAAAGCATCAACATGATGCAAGTCAAAATCTAGCAGAAAAAAAGCGTCAACATTACGAAGACATTTCTCTGTGCAAATACTAGTACGATAAGCACGCCATAACGAAAATGAAGAGTGAATCATTTTGTTATCATAGTTAGATCTGTTTTATTTATTATTTAATGAGAAACGGGAAAAGTAACGTTACCGTCACTCTCAGTGTAGTAGTTGTCTATACTAGCCGATCACCCCAAGGCACAGAAGACAAGAAAGCTACATATTACATGGAGAACCTAATCGAGAATGAAATGCGTATGTTCTTTATGTTTTCATGAGTCAAAAATAAGAATAAAGTCCTGCGACGTGACTTATGGGAGATAAGTGGCTGGTATGGACACGTCGTAGTACCTGATAGTGACGCGACTTGTTTATTAACATGCACACACTCGTCATTCTATAGAAAAAACAGCCGATAATAACAGAAAAACTCGATGAAATATGGGCAAACTTGACAGAAAAGTCGCTCTCATTACAGGTGCTTCTGAAGGTATTGGTTTGGCCATTGCACAGCAATTCGTCGCTGAGGGTGCAGCACATGTTTTCATCACTGGACGTCGGCAAGCAATGCTTAATGAAGCCGTCAAAAAGATTGATAATACAAATGTGACGGCAGTGCAGTGTGATGTGTCAAATATGGCCGATCTCGATAAACTGTACAATGTCATTCAGAAAGAGAAAGGTCAGCTGCATATCGTCGTCGCCAATGCCGGTGTCAGTCTGACTGCGCCGCTTGGTTCAATTACCGAAAAACAGTTTGATGATTCATTCAATATTAACGTGAAAGGAGTATTATTTACCGTTCAAAAAGTTTTGCCAATATTAGTTGACGGTGGATCAATCATTCTTATGGGATCTGTCTCCTCCATCAAAGGTCATCCAAATGTGAGTATTTATAGTGCATCGAAGGCGGCTGTTCGTTCTTTTGCTCGATGTTGGGCGGTCGATCTAAAAGAGCGCAACATTCGAGTCAATATTTTGAGTCCAGGATCAATCGACACAGCAATGTTCAGAGGTGTGGTTGATGGTGAAGGAATAAAGACAACTTTCATCACCGATATAATAGCTACTGTACCAATGAATCGACTCGGCACCCCTGATGAAACTGCCAAGGCTGCAGTGTTTCTTGCTTCGGATGATAGCAGTTATGTCACAGGTATCGAACTTTTTGTCGATGGAGGAAGAGGGCAAATCTGATACACTTATTTTATGAACTTGTGTTATTAATAAAATTTCGTTGAAGTTTAAATAAAACTGTTTAATGTGATGTAGCCCTTGGTTTCTTTTGTTGATTTAGTTCCAGTAAGTCGAGAACTGAGCGTTCTCTGATGCTTTTCAAAAATATTCTAATCATGTGAAACTATTCTCGATAGTCTTTCGAATTGAAAATGGCATCTTAAATTTTCAAAAACCGTCGTTCAAATATCTATCGGGTGGCTCAGAATAAACTGCGATCTTAGTATTTTTGCACTTGATCGAAACACTACCTCTTTTTTATTAAAGGAAGTCGTACGCCGAAATCAAGTGTGAAGTTCAAAAATTTAGACAGAACGTTTTATTTCTTTTATGAATGTTGCTTTTGTTTCGCATCAATGGCTCTTCGAAATAAATGCAGGCAAATGATCACCACACTATTTATCCTGATGATATGTCCAATCGCTTCGTAACTTTTTGCCGGATGCTAGAACTTTTGGAAGAACATTCTTTATGTATCTTTCTGCATTCATTGTTCGATGATCTAAAATTACTGGCACCTGCAGCTGTACCCCACACACACCTAACTACACCATCATCTTTGGCGAGACTTCGTTTTTCCACGAATAGTACCTTTCTTGTCGGCCGCTCCCTATTCACAGCACAGTCCCGATTGTTTCGAGTATTTCATATTCCTCCCAATCAATGAGTTTTTTGTACATAAAAAGCCATATTCAGGTATCGTCTTTGATGTAACTATTTACCACTCAATTTGCAACTTTAACCCTCTTGTTTTTTTTTGAAGATCAGTAAACTTTGTTTGCTGAATCATTTTGTATAGATAGGAACCAAGATCTTTACGCAATATTGGGTGTGAATGTGGGTGCGATGAGAGCTACCACAACGCTTTGGTGCAGCTCAACGTGTCTCATTAGATGGCACTATTGAGCTGTTGATTATAGTGCTACAAGAAAATCGCATTTTCACACTGGAAGGTTGCGTGTCTTTTGACGTTTTCACGACGTAAAATTGGAACTTTGTGCATTTGACGCATTTTTCGAATCGATGTCTGATTGTGTAAGGGCACCGTTTTCAGTGAACCATACTTACTAGTCCAGGGATGCGATACAAGACTTCACGAAGACTTGTAGGGTATCTATACACTAGCACATCTTGTTCGTTAGGTTTAGACTCATTGTGAAGCGGGCAGTCGTTGAAAAAGCTTCTTACTTCAGAATTCTGCCAGACAGATGAATCATCGTTGCTGTGAAAGATGAGAATTAGGTAACATTTATCTAAAAAGCGAATGAGAAAGCTTTTCTAGTTCCAAGTAATGGCTAATGTATGTTACTGAATGAAACTCATACCATTATGTAAACAAGTCAATCAAGAGAAAAGCAAAACACATGTTCCAACATATCTGCGCTCGTTTGAGAAGAAGTCAACTTACATATCATGGAACGCACGAAAAGTTTCAAATACACAGACGAAAAAGTATGTGTTCTCATTATGTGCTTTTTTATACTCCATTGTTCGGCCAATATGCGCAGCAATCATGACTCGACGCATGATGTCAATCCAAATAAATCTGGAGCAATACAGCAGATAACTTATGTAGACCACTTTCACCGACAGGAATCTACACTCTGTACGGTAAATTCTGAACGACAGTCAAGGTTTTGTCAAAATCTGTATTTGCTGTCGATCGAATCAAAACATCCATATTAGGCTGAGAATCGGCACCACTTTACTAAAAAGGAACAACGAATCAAATCAAAAACATCACCAAACACCAAAAACTTTTGAATTTGTACAGAATGTCACGTGTGCCAACCAGTACGCAAAGCCGTTGAATTGCCAAAACGAAGCTGAAAATGAGCACTGACGTAGCATTCATCGAGGATTCGATCAACCGGGATAGGCTTGTCGAACATATGCCGAGCTGCACCTTGCAATGGCTCGACGCAACCATCAGAATCAGTTTTGAGCAGCTGGTATTCATAGGTGAACTAATGAAACAAGTACAAACAATCAGACAGGTAAAAGTTCGTTCGATAGATCAGATGACTTTGCTGGTGAAGTCTGTCCTTCATGCATTCATCAAAACACGACACTGAATAAAGTGTGTAATTTTCATAGGAGTACGCTTTTCCACGATAGAACCACGGCTTGATAACCGAACGAAGACCAGTGACGTATTTATTGTAGGCTTTCTGCTACTCATATTTGGATATTTTGAGTTCTAACCCTTTCAGAGAGCCTTGCAAACCCAACAACTTCTGATCATTTGTATCTTTTGAACCTACAAAAAGCAGAAAAGTTCTGCTGCTTAGTTGTAATGGATTTTACCTTGTAGAACACCTCCTCCCATGGATATTGATACTGATAGTATTGCAGATTGATTTCCCTGTTTTGGTGTACGTTAAAAGCAAGTTACTTTATTCATCGAGACGTTGAGGAAAAAATGCTTTTTGTTCGTTTCACAGGTTTTAGTTCGAAACGAGTGCTTTATGGATGGCAACCATGGATTGTAGTGGTACTAAAGCGAAAGATAACAGCTAATTCACGAGATATTTGTCATCGAGCTTAATCTCATTTCGTGATGGTGGACGTCCTAACTTTCAAATTCAATTGTACTCAAAATGCCATTCAGAAATAGGACGAAGTATGATTCAATATAAAATCTTTATGGACTATTGGGATACTTCGATGTTAGACAGACACAAACTAACTGACAAGTGACTTGGCTATTTTACTCTTCGTCCAGATGTGTAGCTGCAATGATTATTCCACGTTCATCTCAATAGCACACGAGAAATTTCTTCCTTTTCCTGCAGTTTTCATAGTAAAGTTTCTTTTCGTAAGCATGGTTACACACCGGCACTTAGTTGTATGCGACCACCTTGGTAGAGTTGGTGTTTTCGTACTTTCTGCAATGACCGAAAGTGATGCATTTGCATGAAAAGTTTTAGTTTTCCCTGACGAGATATTGAATATTGAAGTGACGGGCACAAGACGAAGTATATGGTTTTGTTGCAGCAAGATTGATTGCTGATGCTGAGATGTCAGTGGAATAGTTGCGGGTCGATAATTGTTCGAGATATCTCTTTATCAGATCGGTATTCACGATAGAATAATCACTGCTCGATCTGCATTAGAGACAAAACTCACTTGGCAGAAATTGCAATAAATAGTCACGAATTGATATTAAATCGTTTACCATTCGAAACGATTGTTACTGCTCCCCTATGCATGATGTTATTTTTGGTTTCTTGTATCACCCGACAGCGACTTCATCGTTGTCAATCGTTACCTTTTCGGCTCTGAGTAGCTGCACGAATACTTCATGTTCCGTTTCTTGCAAAAGATCATCCTCAAAATCGTATACTTAAAGTAGTAGCAGAGCCGATCTGAGTGTGAGTGTGGGTACAACCACACTCATTATTCTTCATGTTGGTTTATTTTTGACCAACATATTGAAAACAATTTCAAATATGTAGGTGTCTTGTAGTATTCGAATGGTTACTATGTAGCATGAGATTTTACACATACTGAATGATGACTGTCTGGGAAATAATTGAAACGTGTTGCATAATGCTTTCAATTTTTCTATTAAAATCACACTCACACCCTTCGTGAATCGAAATTCTATTGAAAGTTCTTTAATGCTACAAAACTGAACATCACTATCCATATGACAAAAGCACAAATGTTCTGAGATGGTAAATATGATTTAAGTAAAGAAGCGAAAGCAGGAGATGACACTCGTCATGACTTATTGATCTATGCTGAGGTATCACGAGTATCCGATTTATTCACGTTTACTTGGTTCGACTCTTTCGTCAACAACACACACTGAAATCGGTATTTTCACTGCGAACTGCGCCAATCGATTTCTTTTCTTGTGACATTCACCGACATCAACGAATGTTACAAGCGCTTCAAGAAAATACCACAAAAAAAGGTAGGTTCATATTTGTATTAAGGAGCTCTCAAACATCTTTTCTGTTCAGATTATTGTGACCGTTTCAAACTAATCAAGTACAACACTTGACTTGAGTTATGTTTATTGTCTTGAACATGATACAATGTAACTGATGGTCTATATTATGTCATTGATTAGTTCAATCGACTAAGAATTGAATCTTCTTGGGTCAAAAACTCAATACTTCGCAGTTTAGAAGACATTTAAAGCAAAATGAAGAAGAAAGAATTATCCCAAATGTCATATTGTACTTAAAAGCTTTTATTTTACTCGCCGTCTTTTGACATTGTTTTGGTTAAAAAAATATGAAACTATCTCAAACGGCAACTCTATCTTCTTGATGATAGTGACTTCTATCTGGATCATAATCAAACCATCGATGGAGTGTCGTTGTTTCGCAAAAAAACCATGTCGAATGGTGAATCTACAAGAGCTCACATTATTTCTCATGCTGGTAAAGAAACAATCATTCATTCATGGCACTTATACGGCACAACTATGCGTTATTTCCTACGAAACAAGATGGTCCTAACATCCTAAATTCTTGATGCCTTAAATAATAAAATAATGATGTTTACATGAACATATATAGACGAAGATAGCAAGTGGAAAACTCTGGATGATAGGCGGCATAAGAGAAGAAAGACACGATCTTTCAAAAAATTTATTATTTTTTCTATGGAACGATTGTATAGTGTGCCTTAACCGAATGGTGATTTGGAAAGCGCAAGTGTAGAACATTTGTTTTTAAGCAAATGCTTCTAAAAAACATACATTATGAATAATCGCTTCAGTTCACATAAAGATGAGGCTCCTGATGCATATATGCTTCGACAGCTACCAAAGAGTTAATATTACCAGGTACGTCGAAGTAGGCAACCTCTCCTTGTTGTAGCATAAGAATACGATCACTATTGACTACTGTATTTAATCGATGCGCAATCGTTAATATAGTGCGATCACGAAACTTTTCAGCAATCACCTCTTGTATCATTCTATCGGTCGCATGGTCGACGTTTGCTGTAGCCTCATCAATCAGTAATATGTGGCTCTTCTTCAAAATGGCTCGAGCTACACAAATCAGTTGGCGTTCGCCAGCACTTAAATTGGTACCTGATTCAGCTACCAACAGATGGAATCCATCGGGATGGTTGCGCACCAATTCTTTGAGTTGAACAGCTTCAAGTGCTGTAAGACATTCATCATCTGAGAATTGTTCGAATAGATCAATATTGTATCGAAGTGTACCACAGAAGAGTATGGGTACTTGTGGTATAACATTTTGATGAGAACGAAGATAATCAAGTGAAAGACGTCCAATATCAATACCATCAATGAGAGTGGGATCTGTTGATTGCTGACTGGTCGACAAGTCGAAAGAGAGCTTGAAGAAATGATGACTTTCCAGCACCTAGACGAAAAGCAGATGCGGACAAACGAGTATCGTCCAAAGAGCAATCACACATTCCAATCTTCAAGGTCCTTTGGAAGTGCATCATGCGCATCGTCTATGCACACAATAAAATATTTTTCATAAAATGCAGCTTCTGATCAACGAATCACTTAAACTAAACGTTTGGGTTCCTTTTTCAATGCTAATATCCGCTTTTCCCTCAGTTTAAAGGCAGTCGCTGAGAAAGCGTCAAAAAATTAGAACAGATTATTCCTTATAAATTTAATGCAGTATAAATACATCTCTCCGTTTCTGATCGAGTTTCTCTCTTCGTATTAGGAATGCTCTTCATATAGATTCTCCGAAGTAAAGCAATCATACCTGTCCGACCAATAACTCCAATCTTTTCCTTAGACTCAATTCGTAGATTAAGATTTTTGAGTAACGGATCAAGTTCTGATCGATAGCGAAAAGTGTAGTTTTTAAATTCGATAATACCATGAGAAGGTCAATCATTTGCTGGTTGAATAGGAACATCGTTCTCATTACTGTTCCCTTGATTTTCTGGTACAAGTTGATCATATTCATGAAAACGTTCTGCACTGGTCATGAAATGTTTAGCTTCGGTTGATTGTCGTATGCACCATTGAAAAAGACCTGTTAAAGTGATACAATAGCTAATACTGAGTGCTGCTGCTGCCGATGGATCGATTCGATGGCGCAACACTACTGCAAGAATATCAGGAACTAAAGGGAGTAAGGATACCACCAGATCGAGTCGTAAACCAAACCAACGTGCAGTGGCAAAGAGAAAGAAGTATGCTCGTGAATTAGTATTGATTCTTTCCATGAACATATTCAAAACATCGTCTTGGACATTAAAGGCACGAATACTAGTGAGTCCATCTAATGACGACGAGAACGCATATAAAATTTACGAAGTCACAAAACTGTGGGAACCACTGGAATGAGAATTAGAAGCACCCATGGGTTGGTCATTCCAATGATTGCGATAAAACCTAGAGTCATTAGTAAATACTGCATAGTATCGATTAACGCCAAAGGCAGCTATTCGTCTAACACTTGTTGGTCTTTGCTTGCTCGATTCAATATTCGTTCACTTGGATTACTTTCAAAGAAACGTAAGGAAGTATACAAGATACCTTTGAGCATTCGATTGTGAAAATAAGTTGAACCACGCAGCATAATATAGAAGATATAGCCAGTACGTATTAATGCAACGATCAATGTAGCAAATACAGCTTCAAGATAGATGTAAGCATACAGTGGTGATTGTTGTTCGTTTTCATCTTTACCAGACCACAAAGCGAGCCAATTATTTGTAAAATCGTACATAGCTTCGTTAGCAAGCATAATAATTATCATAAGAAGAAAGCCAAATCAACGTAAAGGTGGTGAAGTAAATATCTGTAGCCAAACACTCCACTTGATAGCACCGTCAACTGTTGTCTCGCTTTTTACAATCGGATTCATATCAGTTGCAGCAAACTTAGGTACCCAATCTGTCTCCTCGTCGTTGGATGAATCTGTTTCTAATGTATCGTTCGATCGCTCAATTGCAGACTGTCGTTCAATATATAATTCGTCAATGTGACCATTCGTTAAGAGAATCGTTTGATCTGTTTCAACTAAAAAATGTGCCTGGTGTGTAACTAATATTCGAGTCTTTCCACGAAGAAGACTACGAAAACCAATGCATTGATCAAAAATGCTCTTGGCCACCTTGGATTTCACGACAGCAAGTGGACCGTCAAGTAAATATAAGTCAGCATCAGCGTAAAGAGCACGAGCGAGCGATATTCGAGCTTTCTGTCCTCCACTCAAATTGACACCTTTGTCGCCAAAGATCAATAGATCGCCAACTTCACCGAAATTCTGTAGATCAATATCAAGACAACATGTCTTGATTACATGCTTGTAACGTTCTTCATCCCTTGGTTTGCCGAGAAGAATATTGGCTCGAATAGTGCCAGCAAAAGTCCATGCCGATTGTGAGGCGTAGGAAATCGAATTAACATATAGTCTCAGCTGTTCACTGATAAGATTGATCTCACTAAGAATAGCAGCTACTGGCGTTGATTTGCCAGCACCTATAGCACTTTTCACTCCGATCAAGTCATCTCTTCTGATTTTGAGATTAAGAGAGAACAAAGAAGGGTTATCTTTCCAAGAAAATGATGCATCTTCCATTATGATTGCATCATCTTCGTTGTTGTTTTTCACTTTTTCCTTCTTATTCAACAGCATATCAAGTTGCATAAATTGATCGATCCTTCTTGCAGAAACACGAACTTCACTAAATTTTTCAGTTGCTTGTAGCATCGCAATTGTTACTGGAACTCGGACCATGACATAGAACGCTAGTGTTGAGAATATAAGGTAACGTTGTGAAAGAGAGAGCAGTGTTAAGAGCTCTTAAGCAGCTCGCTTTGTAAATGTTTGATAGTTCACGTCGACGCATTTCACATACTCGTTGTTCCATGGCTTCTACTCAATCGTACATTTTAATAATTTGACATCCGTTGATAAGTTCATTGATCGTTTGTACGCGCCTGTCTGTACATGCCATTGTAGTCTTTCGGTATCGACTGAATTGTCTACTAAAAATGAACTACATAGGTACTAATAAAATCAGTACTCCATAGCCAAATAATGTTGATAAATCAATGTGCCACCAAAGGAAACCAAACGTTACAAGAGCCTCCAAAGGTACTAGCACTACAGCATACACGAAGCTACTTGATAGTGATGGTCAACAAGTGCTGATAGATGATGATGTATTGCGAACTCGCATACTTATGCGAGCATTTCGAAAGAAGATTTGTTGATGAACAATTGCTTGTAGAATTGCAGAAATGCAAAGAGCAACAGCAAATCAATAACCAGGGTAAGTAGGTAATCCTGATTGACCTTTAATATAGAGAACAATATGAAGAATAAGCAATGGCTGTGCAATATGAGCCGTGATAAGTGGAAAAACGAGCAATATGCTCATTTTAAAATCCTTATAAAATGTTCGTATAAATACATGCCATGTACCTTGCCAGTTAGAACTATACTGATTTACTCTATTCAATAAGACTGAACATTTATCGTTGATAGAGAGGGATGGTTAAGATGTTCTCAACAAGCGTGCGTTTATTACCCAAAAAGAGGGTAGGTGTTACCCATGACAATAGTGGTAATTGTATGCATCTTGTACATGACGATTGAGCCCAATCCAATCGGGATGATTGTCGTTGTTCATCTAGAATATATTCTTATCAAATTGTGTGTATATATGATTATTCAATTTCAAGCTTTGTCAAGTTTTAATGTATACGTACTCATGTCAATTGATACAAGAAAATTGATTTGTCGTCATCAGTATAAATTTGCTTCGTCTCTTTTATCTTCTGAACTTCAGGTGAGATTTTGTGAGGTTTGTAGTCTTAGGAACTGTTCTTTTAAACATAAAATTTGTCTTATCTTATTTTCTGATACATTTTTCTCTTATTTCTTATCATTCTCTTATAAGTAGTTCTTTGCATGCATACACGTTGCTACTCTTGATGCATTTATGATATAAAAGAGATACGAACAAAAGTCATAATTTTCTTTTTGCAGACAAGAAAAATTCTATTTATTTTTCTCTAGCGTAAACTCCAAAATATAGATGATCCACAAATAAGTAAACTGTCAGGCGTTAAACTGATTGAAATGAAGGCAGAAATGTTCATACATAGATGTTTATTGTAGTAGCTTGTAAACATATTTTAACACATCCAGGAAACTTTTAATGATGCGCAACAGATACGCATATCCTTGTAGTCTTTTTAGGAATGTTCGATATAAAATTAAATTCCTTTTTCGCTTTTTGGTATATTTTGGCTGTGTAACGGTACGTAAGTTTAGGTGAAGCTGCTGTGGATTATGGTGTGCGTGAAGGGAAAATTCGTATACACAGCCACACCAATCTATATCCTCAAATTAGTAGATACGGATCAATCCAAATGCATAGTAGTTAGTAACTGATAACCAACGCTTAGTCAATGATTGGAACAATAATATGTAGACAGAAATTAAAGCAGATAGATAAAAGAGGCGAATAGAGGAAACAAATGAATGAAGACGCGAAGAATTGGAGAATGAGTAGAATCAGAGGAGAGAGAGAGTGAAAAATAGATCCTATTCTACTGTTTGTTGACTTCCAATCAATGAATCTACTGAAGAATGGAATTGCAAAGGGAAAAATGGCACTCTCCGCTCAGGTCTAGGAAAACATTCGCCAGTGAAGGTACCTCGAAAATTTTTGTAACAAAAATTTCGATAACGACTGCTCTTTCCGTTCGTCGTTGAATGAAAACTTCGCCATTTGTTTCTAGCTTATTATTAGAAATGTCATCCGACATTTAGGTAGGTTTTTATGCATCAAAACGTTTATTAAATTATCTGTTGATCTTTATGAATAAATCACTAAAATATCACTGAGCAATGTTTCATCAAAAATTTCCTGCTAGAGTTTTTCGATCAAAACTATGCCTTCCTGATGTTTTTTTTATGCCTCTATGAATATAAAAGTTTTGAAAAATATTATACGCCGAACCTAAAAATGCTGCTGAGTTACTTTGTCCGTTCTATGAAAGAGAAAGTGTATCGAAAAATCGTCTGTTGATACTCTGTGTTGTTTCGAAGACTATGTGGAGTAAACTTATCAAAAATTAGCTTTATAATCAAATATAAAGTGCTGTCACTTTCTGTGTTAGTGAGATCATACGGGAAACAGTTCATCTTAACTGTTCTCCTACTTTATGATCTTTTTGGGTTATAGTTAAGATGTGGAAGCTCTTATTCTGATGCTTTTGGTATTAACTATCAAACTATTTCATATGCTGGCCGTTTAGACTTATTGTACTATGTAACTCTTGTTCTATACCATCTCCGAACTGCTCTACAATCTTTTGATCTCTGACTACTTTATTAGTCTTTCTTTTTCATGCTACTGCTACCTTTCCTTTCAGATCACTTATCTCTTTTTCTAGTCTAGCTAATGCTTGCTTGAAATAAAGACAAAGGAAAACCTAAATCAGTAAAATATGGATGCAAATTCTTTACTATCTGATTCTGTAGTCGTGCTCTTTTCTTTCTAATAAACTTTAATTCTGTTGTATCAATTCAGCATGTCTTATTTTCACCGTGTGCAATAGCTCTTTCTATGTTTTTCTAACGTTTTCAGAAATGTTCTTCACTAGTTCTAGATGTTCCTTTTCACTCTTGTCGATTATTGTCTGCTTTGAAATTCTCATGAATATAGTCAAGTCTAACTTGGTCTTATGATCTTTACTAGAAAACTATATTTTATCAATGATGTTAAGAGAAGGCGGGGGCATGTTTTCATTGAAACGTCTGTGAAGTTGTATTGTTGAAAAAGTAATTGAAGAGTGCGAATATAGATTTCTTCTGCCTTTTCGAGAAATCCTACGGCTTCTTTGCTGCACTTGGCTTCATAAATTTTTAAAGTTTCCTCACGAATCTGATCTAAAAGTACAATATTCAATTGTATTTTATTCGATTATTCCAGTGCTTCAATCATTTGATCTGTATCGTTCTGAGCACACGCGGCTATAATCATGTGATTCTCGTTCAGAAAATATTCAAATGCTTTAAAAACCTTCTTCTCCTTGCTTTAAAGCTCTCTTTACAGAAAACTCGTGGTACTATCTTATATCCTAAGCATTGGCTATCATCATGCTGAAATACTAGGGTAAGGAATTCGGATGCGGGTCACAGTGGACAGTCAGGCGACGAAACGGATTTGTGAGATCGGAACCTATATCGTAACTACCATAAAAGCTACTATGGTACTGCATTTAACTTTATCTTGAATTCTGATTGCAAGCAAATAGTCGTCTTGCAGTAGTTACCCTAAAGTAGGTAAAATAGGTGAATATAACTAATAAGGTACTAGAAGTAAGATTTATGTTTCAATTTGAATATTTAAACGTATTTATTAAATATGATACAGTTATTTAGCATTGTATGTTTACTATATAGTACAGATTTTTCAGACTGACTGAGATTCCCTCAGCTACAATAGGCTCACGCCTGCCGGGGATGTCACTAGACATCCACAGGGTTTGACCTCTGCTCTCGGAAAGAGGATGGCGCCCCTGGGCTACAGGTAGCCAATGTGTCTCTTCTCTAGGTTAGCCACCTATTTAAGGGACGATTAAACTTGCTGGCTAATGAACAGGATCAAAATCAGTGCATAAATGCACGTAAAACAACGTTCTTCGGAGGATGGAACGTTCGATCATGTTTTCGTCGATCAAAAAAAGAGCTGATAGTCAAACAGCTTAAGAAACACCGAGTGCAAGTAGCTGCACTTAGTGAAACAGCAATGTACGATTATGGTACAACAACCATTGGTGAGTACACTTTTATTTTTTCAGGACATGCAAGCACAGACAAAATTCGTTCAGCACATGGAGTCGCCATATGCCTCAACAAACAAGCGACCACAGCGTGGAAGAATCTCGGATCAATCTGGGAAGCCATAAATGAACGTATTGTGATGGTCCGGTTAGCATGCAACCCAATAAATGTCACTGTGATTGCAGTATACGCTCCTATCAATCCAAGTGCAGACACCTCAAAAACAGATTCTTTTTACAATGATTTGCAAAATACCTTGGACAAAGCACCAAACAGCGACATGACTCTCATAATCGGAGATTTCAACGCACGCGTAGGTATACAACAACACATAACAAGCAGAAATGTAATCGGTCCGCATGCTGTAGATGAGATAAACTACAACGGTGAACGTCTAATCGACTTTTGCTCCATCAATAATCTCATCGTATCGAACACCTTCTTCAAGCACAAGCCCATTCATCAAAAAAGCTGGATGCACCCTGGTCAAAAGACTTGGCATATGCTGGACTACAATCTCGTCAATAAACAATTTCGATCAAGTGTTGAAGACGTACGAGTTCATCGTACAGCAGCAGGCGCAATTGGTACAGATCATCACATGCTTCGAATCAAGCTAAAATTTCACCTAAAAAGCAGAAGAAAAACAACCAAAAGTCAAATACTACGTATAGATCAAAAGAAGCTCAAGAATGAACAATGCAAGTTGGCCTTTCAAGCACAACTACATTGCCGCCCGCAACTGCAACAACAACAAACATCTTCGTCAACAACAATCGATGACAAATACAACGCTTTTGTCGATTATGTACATCAAGCAAGTAAAACAACTTTCGAACTAGATAGAACCAACAAAAAGCAAAAAGATTGGCTAACTGATGAAATTCTGGATGTTGTAGACAAAAAATCAAAAGCATTTCTTAAATGGCAGAATTCTCGTGGAACATATTTAGAAACAAGATGCCGTAATAGCTATCGTCGACTTCGCAATTTAACCAAGAAGAAAATTGATGCAAGGCAGATTGAGTATTGGGATGAAATCAGTTTGGAAATTGAAAATGCAATCAAGCAGCATGACCCATCAACTGCATACGCAATGATACGTCGTTTAAGAGGAGGTAAAGCAAAAACTGAAAATTTACCAATTTTAGATAAACATGGAGAACTTCTAACTAATTCAAAACAAAGTTTAACTCGCTGGAAAGAGTATTTCAATGATCTCCTAAATGTACCATCTCATGTAGATCCAATAACAATTCAACAAATCCATGCAGTTACAATAACTACAACGGAACAACGACGACAAGAGCAAACACCATCTCTGGAGGAAGTCCAACGCGCAATAAAACAAATGAAAAATGGAAAAGCGCCTGGCAATGATGGAATCTCTGCTGATCTTATAAAAGCTGGTGGTCTACCAATGGCAAAATGGTTGCATGAGATTTTTGTGGACATATGGGAAAATGAAACAATAATTGAAGATTGGTCAACAGCAATCCTGATTCGTCTCTATAAAAATAAAGGCGATAAGAAGGTATGTGATAACTATCGTGGTATATCTCTCCTCGTGGTGACAAGCAAAATCTTCTCCAGAATTATTCTTAATCGTGTTCAAGACCTGCTCGATAAACAACTACTGGAAGAACAAGCTGGCTTTAGATCCAATCGCTCGACAATCGACCAAATATTCATTCTCAAAATGGTCATGGAGAAGTCCTACAACATCAACAAACCTCTGTCTATGTGTTTCGTCGATATCATGAAGGCTTATGATTCGGTAGATCGTGATCTTCTTTGGCAAATTTGTCGGCACTATGGCCTCACTGACAAAATTGTGAGAATGCTCAAACTACTATACAAGGATCCAAAAGCGCAGGTACGTATCAATGGAGAACTATCTGATCATTTCAACATCAACTCAGGAGTTCAACAAGGTGGTATTCCTTCTTGCATTCTCTTTAATGTTTCATTCGACTTCATCATTAGACAAGTCATCGAGCAAGCCAAAATTCTCGGTATCAAAGGGATCAAATTAGCACATGGCAGCAACGATTTTTATCATCCAAACAGCGATCCATATGATAATTTAGATATTCTTCTTTTAATATATGCTGACGATCTAGTGGTAATGTGCGAAAGCGGCACCGATCTGGAATTGTTTATTAAATGCTTTGAGCAAACCACCCAAAAATTTGGCTTGACAATGAGCGTGAAAAAGACATGTATCATGACGCTGAAACAATTGGAACAAGATCTATTAACAAACAAGGTCACCAAAAACAAAGAAATTCACAATGCTCAATCGAAGATAACCATCCGAAATGAAATGATTGAAAACGTAAACGATTTTCGATATCTCGGGTGTTTTTTTTCAAGAGATCAAACACTTGACAAGGAACTTGAAACTCGACTAGCCAAGGCTTCAACAGCGTTCAATATGCTACGTCATGTTATATGGTACAGAAAAAATGTTTCTATTCAAGCGAAACTAAGAATTTTTCGTGCGTGTGTTCTTCCTGTGCTGCTTTACGGCAGCGAGGCGTGGTCAACAACAACAACTCAAGAACAACGTCTCAACACTTTCTATTTCAAATGTCTTAGGACCATAATCGGAGTAAATCTAGGAGATCGTATGCCAAACGAACTACTTCTACAACTCACCGGACAACCACATCTACGCGACATTCTCATCAGAAACCGGCTTCGTTGGTTTGGCCACGTAAACAAGATGGAGGTTGAAGACAAGAAATCGTCGATGGTCAAGAAAGTTATGTTCTCCTATTTTCCTCAATCAACTAAACCAAGAAATATGGGAACGCGGAAACGGTGGGAAGATAAAATCATGGAAGATCTTGAAAAATTCAACATACGTAATTGGCGACGAGAAACAATGGACAAAATCAAATGGAGGGAAACAATCAACAGATTCGCTTACTCAAAAGAGCCTTCTCCAAACATCACAGAAACAGTTAAAAAATACAAGCAGAAAGCAGATAAGCGACGAAATATAGGACCTCCTCCAAAGGTGACTGAAACTTTAACTAAGCATGGATACAGAAACACAGATGGTACATATACATGCCCAAACTCAAAGTGTACTCGAAGAACTTTCAAAGCACAAGGTATTACAAAACATGTGAAGGCCTGCGCAAAACAATGGTGTACACAAAACAAAATAGACAATTAATAATGGTATGTAAACAAGACGAAAAAGCTGAACTTCTTTACCAAGTACTTCATGATGGATATAACCCAAACCACACTCACAAAGTATGGAGGTTATATGCGGAAAACGGCACTTGGTTCTGGCGTTCTACGATGGTCAAACAATAAATCACCCGAATGAACATTTTTCTTTTTCTTTTTCTCTCTCTTTTTTCTTCTTTTCTTTTTGTGCGTATTTTTTGTAATTTTTTGATCTTCACCCTATACTAGCATGGTAAGGGTATAATAAACTAAACAATAGGCTCAAAAAGCTTCTCGTAAGATACTAAGAAATAATGACTAGTGAATAATGCCATTTTTTGCTGAAGCTTTTCTTTTTTGAATTTTAATTTAATATCTAATAGTACATGTCATTGTCCATCTTGTATAGGTGCCCATTTAAACCCTTATTGAGATACAACGTCGGAAATATAACCTACCATGTAGATCGACTCCGAGCGATTTGTATAGTAAATGCTTATCTTTTAGATCGATGAAGTTTTCCAATCGTTGCTGATAAATAACACAAGCTCAAATACATGAAATTTTAGACTACTACAACGATTGTTTTGTTCTAAGCATGACTCATAGATAAATTTCTACTATGTTCATTGTATGAGAATTCGACAGCATCGAAAAAGCCTGGAATGATTTGGTTTTCCAGATCTTTGTGCTTATGGTATCGAAGTTTTTCTGAACTTTTCAACAAAACTCTGCACTTTCCCTCGGGTCACGTTGAGTGTTGACTTTCTAGTTTTGACTTGAAACTCTGCGGAAACAATGCTTTCAATGAAATTAGTTTATTGTGAAAGCTTCGACCTTTTTCGTTGTGTCTGTCATGATATACTAATTAAAGCCCAAAATTTGCGTTTTGACAAAACAGAATTTTGAATATCTGTATCTCACGGCAGAAGCAACGAAGAGGACTGAACCTTTCAAGATGATCTGAGCGAAAACGCGGCGTTTTGTAAAAAATTGAGTCAAAAGCCTATTCTTCAGAAATTTTCGAGCAGAAGCGGCTAAATAAGCACAGATAATCAGCATTAAGTGAGAACGATAATTATACGAAATATGAAGTCATCAGCTATATTACTTGTAAGGATTGCTCCTGCCCCCCCCCCCCTCCGCTTTTCTTGTCCATGGTGCGGGCGTGGATGTTGATCTGCTGTTCACTCACACGCAGTTGCACTGGTACCCCTACTCAAAACTCGACTATACGCATAGCCCACACGATCAACCACATCGGAACGGTGGGATTGATGCTTATGTTTTGATAGTAATTAATGTATGTTTCCTAAGATATTACAACGGAATTCGTTCGTGAAAAAAACTTGTCGTGCCTGTCGCACGTTCGAAAAGAAACTGAAAGAAAAATTGGGCACATCAGTGTAATGAGATATCATATTGCAACTACCATGCACTAGTTTATCACCATATTTATCTAATAAACATGCGTTCTTTTTTCAATGATGGAGATAAGAAACGAGAAAGATTAGTCTGCTACGACCAGATGAAAAGAGAGGTGCTAATTGCTTGCATTTTTGCTGTGATGAGTTTCTCGATGAAATAGTCGAGTTATCTACTGTGAGTATTTTTCTGTCGAACACATGAAAAACATGTGCCATATTTCTAAAGACTATTTCATTAAACCAAACTGCTACCATGCAAAGTGTTTCAAAAGACCCGGAGAATAAAAAGTTGCACAGCTCTTAAATCATTTAAGCGATATCCATGAGTTTTCATGATTTTATTCCTAATTCTTTTTATATATCCTTAGTTTTAAGTGAGCACACTGAACTAAAAAGACTGATCTTTAGTAGCCTTCGTAGATAATCCTCTTTTAATCCGCATACTAGTAGAAATGGTATCGGAAAACTAATGTACTTCATTTTCAAAATACGAGGAGCCATTCATTTTGTTATAATTCAGTATTCTACTGAACAATCTTTTCAAATAGTCATCACTCCGATAATAATGATATAATTTCATTAGTTTTTTAATAGCACCCTCTTTTCGCATTTTTTGTCAAATTTAATGGGCAGGCTTCATTTTACAATCTTTGGTAGTTAAAATTTGTCCATCAATCAAATGATGTTGATTCTAATATCCGTGGGTATAAAGGTTTTCTCTAAGCTGTTCAGAATAAATATTAAGGGAACACCCGATAAATTGTAGAGGACTCCTGCAAATCACTCGAGCTATTCAAGAGCTATTTAAGTTTCCTCCACCAAGATTTTTCGAATATCTTATTTGAATGAGAAATGTGACCTAAACATAAAACTGGGAACAAAGTCTGCCGAGCATATTTTAGACAGAAAAAGAAAAAACTACAACGCAGTACTTCACAAACCTATTACAAGAACATGGAAAATGAATCTGCCTGTGATATACCCACTGAGCATACAAATAACACTGTGGAACATTCAGTTCTTTGTACAGATGTGACTCTATGTGAAGATGACCTTAGCGACGAAGCCAAAGCAAGATTTAGTTTTCATACTGAGATCTTGCATGCGTTTCAATTGACTGCTGGCATTGTACTAGCCAATGATCGACTAACACCGATCGGTCGACACCTATTCTGTACGTCAGTAGAACAGAACTACACGAATTGCAAGAACGTGCTCAACTATGTTGCTGCCCATCCGGAAGTTCAAACAGCAGCACATCCTATGCCGCCATTATTCGTTTTGTGCGGGCCGCATCGTACCGGCTCCACGCTTCTCTACAATCTGCTTGCCTGTGATCCTGCATGTCGAGCTCCTTCGTTACTCGACATGATGTACCCGGTCCCACCACTAGCTCGCTCGGATGCTGTAGCACAAACACAACGTAAAATCATTGCAAGCAAGTTAAAGGAGGAATTGAAAGGTTTTGGATCCGAGGAATACGATCGAGAGCGAAGTGCCTCTCACCCTTTTTATACATATGAGGAAGATGTATTCATCCTTTATCAAGGTGGTCTTCTAGTGCCTCATCTGGAACCTCACGATAGTACGGAACTTGCGACTTGGTTTTACGACGATTCAAACAAGAACTTTGTCTATGAGTATCACAAGACATTTATGCAGATGTTAAATAGTGTCGATGCGCCACAGTCACACTGGCTCTTGAAAACTCCGTACCATATATTCAATCTTGACACTTTGCTACGTCATTATCCCTCTGTCTCACTCATCATGACTCACCGCCAACTACATGATGTGGTACCTTCCTCGATTCGCTTAGGGTTGGCATTCGCGACCATTTATTTCGATAGCAGCAAGAATGATGCGGCGATCGATAGACAAATGATCGTGGAACGCCGTTTGCGTGCGACGGATGTTCAAATTAATCGTATTGTGAATTTTCGTCGTGCTCATCCACATGTTCCCATTTTTGACGTACTCTATGACGATCTC